AGTCAAGATTAACGCCCACAGGCAGTGCATGCAGCAAGGCGTTAGCAGAGGCTGTGGATCCGATGTCCCCAGAGTCCTCAGTCTGCGGATCTCAACAGTCGCAGAAATAGGAGCCGGACCGGGCCGTCTGGATATCTGAGTCTGACCAGCCTGGCGGGGTGCTGAAAGGACAGCTCCCGGCCCCTGAGGAGCAGCCCAGGGGCTGGGGAAGCCATGCTGGTTCCCCACTGCAGCCCCTCCGGCCTTGGCTCTGTATGTCCGGACTGCTCTGGGGAGGGCGTCGGCAGCTGATTATTCTCCAGTCCAGAAGGTGCAGCGGGGATTCTGGGTTCCTGGAGACTCTCAGGACCCTTGCTTGAAAATCATGGAGAGACGAGGGCCCTGGTCTAGAGAAGGCGGCACACGGATGCCTGGCCTCCAAGGACGGGTGGGGAAGACCCCGCAGAGCAACCCAGGTCCTCATGTCCCCGAGCCATCTCAGAGGAACCCTGGGTGGGGGGCCCAGGCTGCAACCTCCAGGCCAGCCAGGGTGGGCTGCCCCGGGTGTCAAGTGCGTATGCGGTGATCTGTCTGCGTTTGTCTGGCTTGTTCCTAGTCAAGATTCTGACTGCCTTGATTTCCGCTGTGGACGGCTGCGTGGTGTCCTGTTGGGGTCTAAGAGCTCACGTGTGTGGAGCTGGCTTGTTACTTGCACTGGTGTGGAAAATCCCTTTGTGGCTGGCGTCACTGGCTGGTGCCTGGAGTGCGTATGAGTCACTGGTTCAGGGCCAAGAGTGGCTTTGTCCATGTGTCCTGCGAGTGCGCTGCCAGCACGTCCCTCTGGCCCTGCCGACCCTCCTGACCCTTCGCGTTTGCGTCCTCACCTCCCTAGAAGGTCGCTCCTGGAGGGCAGGGACTGTATTCTGGTCCTGACCCTGTCCCCAGCACCTGCGCAGGCCGGCACTAGCGGGGGGGGCTGTCCAGCAGCGTGGCGCGGCTGAGCAGCGGCTCCAAAGCGCAGTCTCTCTGGGGAGCAGTTAATTTCGGTGTGACCCTGTGGGAACCCGGGGCCGTGTGAGGATGAGGACCGCTGATGCGTGTCATCGCCTGGGCCTGTGCGCGAACGTCTATGTCTGTGCGTGCGACACTGCCCATGCTGGCGCGTAGACCGGCTGTGTAAGGGACCGCGCGTGCCGACGCGTGCCTGCATCTCTCACGGGTTTGGTGCAACTGATGTGCGCCCGAGCCCGTGTGTGCCTGCAGTGTGTGTCTGCGTGTGCGCGCGTGTGTGCACGCACGCGGCGCCCGGCCCCGGCTCTGCTCGCACCCTGCGCTCCGCCTGTGGGAGGGGAGCGGGGTGAGCGGAGGGCGCTGCGGCTCGGCTCCAGCGTCCCCGCGCTCCGCCCGCCCAGCCGCGGCCCCGCCCCGGCCCTTTGTGGCTGGCTGGCGTCGGCCCGCAGCCGCGCGGAGGCCCCGCCCCTCCCGCCCGGGCCGCCCTCCCTCCCCGCCCTGCCGGCCGCAGTCGCGCCTGGGCCGCCGCGGGCCCGCACCGAGGCGCGGAGCGCGGCACACGGCGGAGGCGAGGGCCGGGCGGGGATGGCGGAGCGGCGGCGCGCATGGAACACGGAGGACGACCTGCCCGTGTACCTGGCGCGGCCGGGCAGCGCGGCGCAGACCCCGAGGCAGAAGCACGGCGGCATGTTCGCCGCGGTGGAGGGCGCCTACGAGAACAAGACCATAGACTTCGACGCCTACAGCGTGGGCCGCCGCGGCTCGGCGCGCACCCCGCGCAGCGCGGGCCGGCCGGACGCCGTGGGGCTGCCGGGGCCTGGCGGCAGCGAGGACACCGCCAGCGACGTGAGCGAGCCCTCGGGCTCGGCCGTCAGCTCCCCCGGAGAGCGCGACGAGCGGCCGCCCGCCCTGCGCATCCGCTGCCCCGCGCCCCGCGACCTGCCGCTCGGCCGGGACAATGGCCAGGTACGTGGGGCGCGGGGGCGGGCGCGGGGCAAAGCTACGGCCCCTCCCCCACCGCCCCGTGCCCGGCTCGAGACTCGGCCCGGGTGGTCGGCGTCGTCCGCCAGAGCCCCGAGGGACCTCCGAGGTCGGGCGCCGGCTGCTGAGCCGCAGAAAGGGAGAGCGAGGCCCGAGAGGGGAAGTTGTGCAAAGCTGCCGGGTGAATGTGCCCAGGGCGCCTGCATTCCCCGAAAGCAAGGCCAGCGCGTCCTGCGCTTGGCCATCCACGCGGTCACAGAGCACTTCCTGTGGCCCCGGCGCCGGGAGAGGCTCGGGGACTCGCCGAGGTCTCACGGCTTCCAGCTGGAAAGAGCCGTCCCCAGGCGCTCTCCTGCTCTCCGGGCGAGGGCTGAGGATTTAGGTGGCGGCCGTCGGAGCCCCTGGCCGCCAGTGCTGACGTCTCCGGGGCACGCTCCGGGGCGCGGGGCACGAGGCCGCGGCACCTGCCTGGCAGAGCAAGTTGCAGGAGGGCTGGGATTTGAGCAGGGACCTCCGCCGCACCCTCAGGCCGGCTCCTGGAGGTTTCCTCCCCCTCGAGGTGGGGTGGGGGCGGGGCGGCAGGGAGTGGGAACCCCAGGGGTCTCCTCGCGCGAGTGGAGGTTGCCATGGAACTGGAGGAAGTGGACTGACGGACGGCTGAGCCCTGGGATGGCGGAGTGAGGGGCAGGGGCCTGGAAAACGGAAGTTGGAGCCCCAGAGGGCGGGCGAGCCCTGCGTGCGCTAGGTCCAGCACTCGGGGCTCCCGGGGGGCTGGTCCCTGGCTAAGTCACCAGGCCCCACCTTCCAGAAGTTCCCAGGCTGGGTTGAGCGACTGGTTCCTTGCGAGAATTACATCAGTTTTAAGGCCCATAGGTAGCGAGCACTCGATGTTTTGCGGTTGAGTTTTGTTATTATCTTTATCATTTTAACTAATCATTCTCCCCTTAATGCTATCAGAGGCATAACGTGAACCGGAGGGAGGGACGGAGGCCTGGTCCTGATGGAAATCGGGGAGGGCTCCCTGGAGGCGCAGCCGCGGGCGGCCGCCCCGGGGGTTCTCGGCGTTTGGCGTGGGGGGCCGCGGGCTCCGCCGCCCGGAGCTCTCCGCGGTCCTGAACCCGGGACCCGGCCGGGGGGGTGCGGTGGTGGTGAGAGTGCACAGTCGTCTCCTCCTCCCACCCCTTCCTTAACTCGCTCTGCCACTTCTCCTCCCCGGTGGTCTGACCACCTTGGGATGTGGCTCCTGGCTCCACCCGGAACCAGCCCGGCGCTTCTCCGTTAACCCTCGGGGTCTCCACCTGCGCGGGTCTCCCTTCCTTGAGGCGTGGCGAAGCGGCGGGGTGCGAGAGCGCTTTGTGCAGGCTGGGAGCTGTCCACGAGGCGCGTCCCTGCCTGGGCCGTGGCCGGTGTCGCCGGCGCCATCCTGGCCCTGGGCTGCGCCCGGGAACCCTCAGGGTACGCGGGTCGCTTCGCCTCGCCCGATCCCACCCACCCTGGCTCCTTCCTGTCCCCGCTCCGGTCCCCGATGCCCTGACTCTGCGGTCTCTTAAGGCCCGGACAAAGGTGGCGCCCGGGCACGCAGAGGGCACTCTGAGTTCCGGACCATGGCACGGAGGGGCTCTCGGGCCCCCAGGAGGGAGCATTTGACTTTCTGCGAGCCGAGTGGCTGCAGGTTTGGGGCGGCCTCTCTGGTCCGGCTCCGCCGCCGGTGCCGGCCCCTCCCGGCCCGCCGGCTGGGCCCCGAGCTGGAGGAGGGGTTGCTGGGCGCAGGCGCGCCGCCTTCGGCAGCGGCGCTTTGTACCCCGAAGTCTGCTTGGGAGCAGCGATCTGTTTGGCCAGCCTGGAGCACGTGCTCCTCCCCTCAGCTCGCACGTGGCCCTGTCCCCAACCCGCAGCTTTCTTACCCAGTTCGCCGGGCGGACCCCAGGCGATGCGCGGAACCTCAGAGGGTGGAGGAGTCAGAGAGAGGGCCCTGCTCCCACTTGCATTTCCGGTCACCCGGGAGCGCGCAGGGTCCGCTCAGAGCCGGGCTGGAAAGGTGGGGTTGGGGACACCTAGAGCCCAGCGCGGGGACAGGGCTTCCACCTGCTGCTGCGCTTCCGCCCTTGCGTTTTACCCCTGGGGCACATAATTTTACCTCAGTAAGCATGTTTTCCGCCTAAAATGAGGACACTGGACGGCGCTCCTGGTTGTGCTACGTGAACCTACGGCCCCAGGACATTTTAAGACCGAATCTCCGGTCCCGGGTGGCCTGAGGAACCGACCACACGGATGGAGCCGGGATTCCAGCCCCCATCCGCACGCGGAGGGGCTTTACCAGGCCGGGCCCGCCCGCCCTCGGGCGCAGTTTGAAAGCAGGAGAGCTGGTTCACCTCACAGGGCTCCTCAGTCTGGATTTTAGCGGCAGGGAAGGGTGGCGCTGTATTCTGCCTGATGGGTGGGGGCCGGTCCAGTGCTTTCGGGGCTTCCTGCGGCTCCACCTTCCCTCCCTCCCGCGTCCTTTCTCCTCTCCGGAAATCCATCGGGCAGTGTCCTGGCTTCCCGCTCACCCGTCCGGGGCTCCATCTGGGTGACGTCCCTGGGGCTGCTGAGCACCCTGCCGCGTCCCCCCCTCAGGTCCGCAGGGCCGTGGGGGCACTGGGCTTGGCCTTCCCTCTCGGCCGCATCCCTCTGCCCGGGAGGCCCTCCGGAAGGCAGCTCGGGGAGTAGGGTCGGGAGGCGGCCGGGAGGCTTCAGGGAGGGAAGCGATGGAGGGTCTGGGATGAATAACCTCCAGTGTGGGATGGGATATTCAGGGAGAAGGGCCAGCGCGAATCTAAAGGCTTGGAGCTGGCGAGGGAAAGGGCTTGGTCCCTTCTGGGAGAGGCGCAGGGGACCCCGGGAGGCAGTGGAAGGAGTGGCCGGAGGGGCGGTCGCTGGGCGCGGTCGCCCCCCCCCCGCAGGTCCGCACCGCCTCCCGCGCGCCCGAAAGCGATTTCTTTCGCTTTTAAGCGCACCACCCCCCACCCCCCCTTTCTGGGGAGCGCGGCCGGGCTGCGAGGGCGCGCGCGCCGGCGGGCGGGGCGGGCTGGGGTCGGAAGGGAAGCGCTTCCTGGTTCGAGCCGAGAGGGGCGAATCGGCTCGGCGGCCGCCGCGGGAGGAGCTGTCTGTCTGCAGCCCCCTCCTCCCGCCCTGCCTCCTCCTCCTCCCGCCCTGCTCGAGCCGCGCGGCGCTGGCAGCGGAACGCGGGCCACAGCCGGGCATCCTCGCGGGCACCCGGGCGCGCCGATTCGCGCCTCCCTCCGTGGCCTCTGGGCCTTTGTCACCGCGCCCGCGGGCCCGAGAGCCAGCGCGACCGAGTGAGGCCTGCGGCCGGGCGCAGGGGCCGGAGGGACCATGTCCTACCAGGGCAAGAAGAGCATCCCGCACATCACGGTAAGCGCCGCGCCTGGGGGCGTGGGGTGCTCGCCGCCGCCAGGGTCCAGATCCACGGGTGGGGGCTGCGGGGCGCCGGGGAGGCTTCCTGCGTCGCCTCGGGCGGGGCGGGGCCGGTCTGGGCCCGGCAGCCCCCTCCCCCGCCTCTGGGGACAAAGGGGGCGCGTGGCGGGGCGGGGTTGGAGCTGGGGCCCCTCTCCCCGTTGGCGGGCGGCCCCTTCTCCGCGCGGGCTGTGCCGGAGGACGGCGCGGCCGGGACGACGGCTGAACAAAAGAGGGAGGGGCGCGGGGTCCGAACCCCCTCCCGCGGCCCCTGCGCGGGCTTGGGGAGGGTGCGGGTGAGCGCGTTTCCTGCACCTCCGCCCCTCCTGAGGAAGGGAAGAGGTGAACCCTGGCTCCCGCCCCCAGCCCTGCGCGGGTGGAAGTCCAGACGGGCAGCGCCATGATGGAAGCTGGTTCCCACCCCTGCCCGCAGCTCTGAACAGCCTCGGGGCGGCCCTGGTGGCAGTGACTCCCAAGGGTTAACTCCGGCTGAGGCTGCACCGCCCAGCGTGGGGAACTGCGGAGTGGGCTGAGCGGTCCGGCTGGGTCCCTGGGTGTGGCCGGAAACAAAGGAGCCCTGGTCTTGAGGCTTTGTCTTGGCGGGGAGCTGAGGGCTTAGCTGTCAGGGGCCGATGGGGCCTCCACCTCGGAGTCAGAGTCCAGCTGACCCGTGCCGGAGATGCCCAGACCCCTGCAGTGGGAGCCCCAGGCTGTTCCCAGAGTGGTGGAATTCCCCAGGGCCACTCCTGCGGTGAGGACGGAGACCTGCCAGCTCTCTGGTGCACTTTTGTGGCTGGCATGGGGGCAGCCCCAGGGCCGCCTGCAGGAGGGCAGCCTTGGGTCAGCGGAGGGACCTGGCATGTTCCACACAACTGGCCAGGCAGTGCGGCCGTGCTCCTTTGAGGGAGACTTTGTCAGCTTGAAGCACCCAGAGGCTGGACCATGGGTGGGGTGCAGGTGAGGGAAGGGCCTCCCCTTCACTGCCCCGTGTCCACCCAACTTTAGGTGGGTATTGAGCTCACGACTTTCTCCTGGTCACAGCACCTTCAGCTCTTGGCGTCAGGCCTTTGCTAAGCTCCTGTCAAGGTGTGACCCCGGGTGCTCTTTCCGTCTCCGTGCTCTGCCCTCCAGGACTCAAGGTCAATCTGCAAACAGCTGGGAGAGTCCACCCCAGGAAGGTGGCAATGCAGGGCTAGGTGATGCAGGAAGCAAGCATGTCCCCCTCTGGGGACCCTCAAACCTGCCCTCGTGGCTGTGTGCCCACGGCAGGTCTGTGGCCCCCAGGTTGCCAGTGCCCAGATGGAGGCCTAACAGATGGTCTGGGAGGCAGGTCTGAGGGAATGCAGTCCTTGAGTGGCACACCCTCAGCCTGGCCCGCCACAGGGCCTGCCCTGCTGTGACCCTCTGCAGTGGATGTGAGCTGCTGGCCTTTTGCGCCAGATGGCTCGGGGTGTGCATTTCTGTGCTCCTCTCCACACCTTGGTGTCCTGACAGCCACGGTGGGTACCCTGCGGGGCTCCTGAGCATCCTCGGCCACCCCGAACCCTGTAGGTGTATGAGGTACACCTGACTGGGAAGGGTGCAGATCTGGCTTTGGTCCTTCACGGGAAGCAAGAGGCCCCTCTGAGGGTGAGGGACACTGCAGGGAGGCCCTGTAGGGGTGGTGGGGGATGCTGAAGGTGATGTGTGACCCAGAAAGGGGCCTCGCCCTGGAGGGCTCCTTGTTCATTTGGTACACATTGTCCTTCCCAGCCAGAAAGACCTGTGATTTTAAGGAGAAAACAAAACACCAGACAGGACAGATGAGGGTGGGGCTGCTTTATGGACCCTTCAACTGCCCGAAGACCTTTTGCTAATAATGCACTTGTCACGAGGGGACCAGATTCTTTCCACAAATGCCACTACGGCTTCCCAAATGCTGCACTCCTCGCCTGTCCCGCAGCAGTCACTCGGGGAGTTATCTGGTAACAAGCACCTGGTGTGGGCAGCGCACCGTGCTAGGCTGCAGGAAGTGGGAAGAAAGAGGTGGCCTCGCCCTCTCAGACTGGAATGGCCTTGAAGGGGTGACATGCAGCGGGCTGGAGGAAACCCCAGCAGGGACACTCAGCCTGCTCCTGAGAGGACTAGGGCCGAGGCGTGGAGAGGCCCCGTTCTGTGTGCAGCCCACCTGCAGTTAGAGCAAGGCCCAAGCCCCGTGGAGAGAGCTGGGGTGTCAGGATAGGAGGTGGTTCCCGGGAGCAGAGGCGGTGGGCACAGCTCTCACCGGCAGCCCCTGGTCCCCTGTACTTGATGCCTGCTCTCCCACTCTGTGCCCTCTCAGTCTCTGCTGTCCCATTTGAAAATGAGCATGAAGATCCCAGCTTCACCAGATTCCTAGATTCCCAGAATCCCGAGATGGGTTCCAGAGTAGGGAGGAGAAGGGGTCAGAATGGACTGCAAAGGGCGGAGACCAAGGGCTGAGGTGGTCGGGGAGCCCTTTGCTCTTTTCTCCATCTCAGCCTGTTTCTGAGGACGTGGACCAGCCTGACAGGAAAGGAGGAAGGGAAAAGCTCAGACACTTAGCTTCTGCCCTCAGGGACGGTTTAAAATCTTGATGAAGCTCTCTTTCTTGTGTAGCTTTTTTTTTAATGAATGGCACTGCTGGGGATTAACTTCGCTGAAGCTGTTTCTAGGTGCCCGGTGTGCATCAGCAAGTACAACATCCTGGGTGTGGCTCTGGGCAAACAAAGGCACATGGCTGTGAGGCCCTGCAGAAGTTCCTGGCTCCAAAAGGGGAAGCCTGCTCGGTGTGTGTGTGTGTGTGTGTGTGTGTGTGTGTGTGTGTGTGTGTG